CACACACACAAACACACACACACACGCGCACACACAAACACACACATACACACTCTGAGATCCAAACTCACATGCAAAACAGCTGATTCCACCCATTTGAGAGTGTCCTTGTTGACCCCCTGAGAGAAGAACTCGGTCCGTGCACGAGCCCAGTCAGAGCGGTCAGTAGCGGTCAGTGCAGGAACCAGACGCTCACTCTCTGGTACTTGGCCTGGTGGAAAACACTCCATAGTAAGGCTCAATAATACAAAAATAAATAATATGCACTTATCGATCTAGACAGAGATAATTTGACACCTCAGACGTAGTTTGGTAAGAATTTTACGACCCTCACAACTACGTATATATGTGTCTCGACACGATGGAATCAGGCGCTCGTCAATTTTGGGGCATTTAGAGATATAAATATCATCTGAAATCATTTTCTTTTGTCTTGGTTTCCAGGGGAGAAAAATGATCTATCTTGAAACATAGAAGTCGAAATATTTGCCATTGAAGGGGGAGGGAGTAGTATCAAAAGTAAAATTAGCGAAGGAGTGGCCGCCAAAGTTTGATAACTTCTATAGCATATAGAGTTCTAGAAAACTGAAAATTTACACATTTTGGGCCATTAATCAACGTTTTTCGGTAAAATTCACATGCGAATTTCTTTTTATATGGACATAAAAGGTGTTGAGCCAAAAAACAAAACTTTGATAAAATGTGCCCAACTGGAGGAAAAACGACTGTTTCATCACTTTCAGTAGTTGGACAAGCGGCTGATTTCACCACGATGTGTCACATATAAGGTTATATTATCACCTCATGAGACTCAAGTTGGTTGTTTTCACGTAAGTTCACAGCATGGCTTGGATTTTCTTTGTATTGTCAGAGTGGTTGAAGTTAAAGATTTCACAGAAAAAATCTGGTTTAAAGACAAGTAGACAGGCTTTACACAGACAGACACATTATACACAATTTCAAGTATATAAATTGGGGATGGGGGTGGCATCTTGAATAAATGTAAAAAGCTAAAAAATAGAAAAAGTAAAATATAAATCAACACTAAAACAATAAATGATATCAAAATCTTCATTTTGTTTATTTTTTGGGGTAGCTGTTTTATGATAAAACCTTACTCACGTTCGCTTAGGCAATGTTTGTCTTATGCGAATAGGATTAACAGCATGGGGCATGTTAACTCTTTCCTGTTCACACTCTTAGCAGCCTTTCTGCTGCTTCTCCTTGGCTCATTCTTACTGCTGTCTTTCAACCACACACCTGATATTATGATAGGTAAGATCTACACCTAGCCTTCTTGAACAAAGGCGAAAAATCTCGGAGCGCGTAAAACACTTATAAAAAAAAAGTTGAACAGAGAAAGGGTTGACAGGACATAAGACAAAAACAAAAGCAAAGAAGTGAAAAACTCTCCACTGACTGTATCTGGCATCAGCGTCCTGCACAATCCACTCCAGCTGGCTCTCCAGGGCTGTCGGACTGACCAGGCGACCGTTGATGTCCGTCACGTCCATTTTATACAGCAGACCACGACGGTTGACTATTACATGCTGGAACAGAACAGACAAGGCACTAAATAGAAACCAATGGTTATTGATGAAGTTTTACTTTTTCTTAATACTTCCGAAACTGGGGAGGGGTGGGAGTGTGTGTGTGTGTGTGTGTGTGTGTGTGTG